ATGTCCACATTTAGAAAATGTCCCTGGGTTCAAAGGACCCATAATGTTTATTTCTACGTTTGGTTTATAAGATTTATAATGGAAAATACTATTATGTTTTATTGCTCCAATAATTCTGTTGTGGCTGTGTTGCCAATCATAACCCTTCTCACCTCGGTAGCCTAGCTGGTCATGGTACATGGGGTTAGATATATGGGTCAGGGTTCCAATCTTGCAGAACAGCAGGATTTATATTAACTACAGACGAAATGTCTCCATGGACCTTTTGGTACAGGATCAAATATCAAGCAGCTTTTGGTGTGGACCAAGTGTCTCTGTGGACATTTTGCACGAGGCCAAATGTCCCACAAGGATTCATACGAGTATATTGTGAGCACCTCAAAGTGCCAGGCCCTGTGCCAGGCGCTGGGTTTCTGAGCTGAATGGGAAACGAGTTCTCCAAGCAAAATCTCACGGCCTACTGTGCACAGGTGCGCTTCCTGCTGCTCCCTATCTGCTCCCCAGGGCAGGCCCAGGAAAGGCCACACCCGGCTGTTCCCAACGGTTTGGGCTCCAGCCAGGGGTTCTCCTGAAGGTGCACAGGACAAGCACATTGGTGCAATGAGGGTGATGTGTGTACATGATAACGAACTCTGCTGCCAGCTTGCCCTTCTGGGAGCCAAGTTCAGATCCACATTCCTCTATTCAAACATCGCCGTGTCCTCCCTGCCCCAGGGAGAACTCCTGCTGGTGATCCCAAGCCTGTCAGTTCCTCACACTACAGCCAACCTGCACTTCTTAGTCACCAGGCCCCAAACCTGAGGATCTGCCATGGCTCCCTGGGGTGGGTACACTGTTCTCCCCGCTGGAATTGTGCTTCCTCCCTTTCCCATGCTTTTCACATCTTATTCTTCCAGCCTCCGCTTAAATGAGGGTCTCGCCTCTTCCCAAACTCTTGCGGACTGGAGTTGTCCTCAGTAAAACGGGGTAATAATACTCAGCAGGCGGTGGAGGAAGTGTGGCGAGTGCAGGCTAGGTTCCGTAACGAGTGGGAGGTCCCCACCAAGATGGGCTGGCAGTGGGAGTGCTGACCCCTGGGAGGTGTGTTCAGAGCCAGTGTCAAGGGAGGAATGGCTTTGTCCACCCTCAGCTTACCCAGCTGGCTGTCCTACCCCCACCCATGCTGAGAGCCTGGGGCGCCTTAGAAATCAGCTCTTGTACACCTTGGAGTTTACTCTTTGCTCTTTGACATTCCTTTGAGTCTCAGGTAGGGTGGCCAATTGTTCTGGTTTGCCTGTGACTCTCCTGATTTTAGCACTGACACTCGTCACCTTCTAGGAAACCCCTCAGTCCCAGGCAAACCAGAAAGGTTGGTCACACTGGCCAGCGACACAGAACTACTGTGAGAAGGGCAGCTGGTGGGGCTGCAGATCCTGGGTCAGCCCTCAGTGCTCGTCCTTGCTGGGCCTTCCACGTGTCCCTCATCCTCACAGCCTTCCTCCCGGAGGTTTTCCCGGCCTCGTTCTAAGTGGAAGACGCTGAGGCTCTGGGAAGTGAAGGCGCTTTCGGCAGGTCTCACAGCAAGGAGACAGCATGGCTGAACCTCTGTGGGTCCCGCCCGCCTCAGGTGTCTCCACCACACCTCGATGCCAACGGAAATAACGCTTTTGTAGGGTGATTCATCACTCCACCCCCCACTCCTGAGCCCTGGCTTTCTGACGCCTGGTTTAGCTGCTTCCAGGCTCGATAAGGATGAAGACAACAATGATGAGATACTTATTTCCTGGTTCCCAGCTGCCTCTGATAATCGCAAGGCTGGGTCAATGGCTTTCCGGATGAGGGTGAAAATGTCCTGATTAAGGGGTCTCGTCCACGACTCCTTAAACTCTGAGGCCACTCGGGCAATGTACCTCTCACCGTTAGCTGATACTCTGGTCCACCAGAACTGTGTTCTGAACAGTATCGACCTTTGTTGTGATTTCAGGAAATAGATCCTTTTTAAAGAATACATTTTTATTTACTTATTTGTAATATTTATTTATTAAACTGGTTGGGGTGACACTGGTCAACATGAACAAATAGGTTTCAGGTGTGGGTTTCTGTGTTACAAGATCTGTATCTTGCACCAAAGTGTGCCCACCACCCAAAGTCAGATCTCCTCCTGTCACCTTACATTAGGGGCCCTTCTTCCCCCAACGCCTTCCCTCTGGCAGTCACCACACTGCTGTTTGTGTTCACCAATTTCAGTTTTATATCCCACATATGAGTGAAATCATATAGTTCTTAGGTTTTCCCTGACTGACATAGTTCACTCAGCACAATGTTCTCAAGGTCTATCCATGCTGTGGCAAATGGTGCTATTTCATCCCTTCTTTTGGCTGAGTAGGACTCCATTGTGTACATGTAGCACATCTTGATCCAGTCCTCTATTGTGGGACACTTAGGTTGTTTCCATGTCTTGGCTGTGAATAATGCTGCAGTGAACATAGGGGTGCATATATCTTTGCGGATACATGATTTCGAGTTTTTCGGGTAGATACCCAGGAGAGGGATTGCTGGGTCAAATAATATGTTTTTAAAAGCAGCAAAGCTCTACCTCTGTAATTTATTTGTAAGAAAAGAAATAAGGAACCATTCTGAGTATAAGTTCTCACTTACCATGTCAATAGATTCTTGGAAACTGAGACTTTAAAACAAAACAATGTTATGATGAAACCAAATTAACCCTAGGCTAATTGATACAAATAAGAGTTAGGTTCCTTCAATATATTTCTGACAAAAACATCCCAAAACTTCTAAATAATGAGAAGCAAGGTAAACTTTTACACTGAACTTTTCTTTAAACTTTGCCAGTGAGATTGTTTGTTCTAACCAGAAGAACTTAAAAAATATTTTTAAAAATATTTTCTTAATCTTTATTGTTGAAAGTATTACTTATGTCCCTTCTGTGCCCCCTCTCCCCCCACTGAACTCTTCTGGCTCAACCCTCCACCTCCGACCCCAGGCCTTCACCACCCTATTGTCTGTGTCCATGGGTTATATATATTTGCATACAAGGTCTTTGGTTGATCTCCTCCGACCCACTCACCCTTCCCTCTGAGGTTGGACAGTCTGTTCTATGCTTCTATGTCTTTGGATCTATTTTGTTCATCAGTTTATTTTGTTCATTAGATTCCACATATGAGTGAGATCATGTGATACTTACCTTTCTCTGACGAGCTTATTTCACTTAGCATAATACACTAATTTTTTTATTTATTCAATGAGTAACTGTAAAAAGTTAAAAATTATATAAATGTATAACAAAATAAAATCTTCTTGTCATCCAGTCTCTAAGGAGAAATTCCTGTTAACAGTTTAGCATATATTACTACAACATTTTTCTACATATTAGCACATATTTACACAAATAAAAGCAAGATCATATTATGCTGTTTTATAAATTTATGTTTTAATATGCTTTTATTGATTTTTTTGGGGGGAGAGAGAGAGGAAGGGAGAGGGAGAGAAACATTGTTTGGCTGCCTCCTGCAAACCCCCACCTGGGGATCTAGTTCACAACCTGGCTATGTGCCCTGACCGGGAATTAAACTGGCGACCTCTTGGTGCATGGGACGACACTCAGCCAACAGAGTCACACTGCCTGGGCTATAAATTTATTTTGTAACTTAGTAACGTGTCATAGACATCTTTCCTTGTTTTTACAAAGCTCCTCCTGTCTGTGGCTGCCTGGCATCCATTTTATAAGTAGAGCCTGATTTATCGAACTCACCTCCTTGAGTAGAACTTTTGAGCCAGCTCTGAATGTTGGTCTAGTCACTAAATTTCTCTGGACTTGTTCTGGAACAGTTTTAGCATGAGGTGCAGAGGTGGTAACTCATTAATTCAACTTTCAAACAGTTGACAAGCAGTTTACCTTTAAACTCTTGGAACTGTTAGTTTTCCATCTTTGCTATGGATCATTTATTTTTAATTATGTGGTAGATTGACAGGAGGAGAAACTCGTTGTTCCTAAAACCTGTTTAAATACCTGGTTAGTTTGTCTGATTAGGAGGAGGTTTTTCTGATCAAGAGAAAAGACAGAAATCAACATGTTTACACCTGTATCAGTTTTAACCTAAAAATAAAGGCCAAAGTGAAAAGCAACAAGCGCTTATTTGAGATCAAAAAAGAGTAGCTATTCAGGACACACTGATTCAGGCAGAAATCCAAATAGTGTTCTGATTAGGAGACAAAAGTAAGGGGTACGAGAAAGGGAAGGGGCCAATTATATCAATAGAAGGAAGGCATTTCTATTGGTGTAGGAAGGCTAACATAGTGATGTTAATTCTAAAGAATGTTTTTCATTTTCAGTCTGTAGTCTTCTGTCAGTCTGGTAGTCACAATATCTGCTTTCTTGTTATCTTTGCAAACAGTTCTTTAGGCACAATGTCGCTTTAGGCTCTGGCCAAATGTTATTTTGCCCTGTTTTAACACCCCAAAGGCTTGAGGCTTAAGTTACTCAGTCATGGTCTCTCTGCTCCATTTTAAAGTGAATGCTTTTGTATTCTTTTTTTTTTTTTACATCAACATCTGAGAAACTTGAGCTTGTTTTATTTTTGTTTGTTTTTCAGTGTTGCTGTTTCTTGAGCCAAAGTAATTGAAAGGCTCAAATAATGGTCAACATGGTTAACCTAGGACAGTGATGGCGAACCTATGACATGTGT